AAAAAAAAAAAAAAAAAAAGTCTTTTTTAAAAAAGAAATCACGACTTATCTTTGATTCTCATATTGGCAAAGTATTTTCCTGGTTTTCAGCAATACTTTATTGTAGCAATATCTATATCAGTATGTGCTCATGAATATGCTAATAATAACAATAAATTAGGTACTGACTTTTATTCTTTTTTTCCTTCATTTTTCTAACCAATCATTTTTTTTTTCTAACCATTTATATGTAGATGTACCAAATAAACATCCACGTGTGCTCCCCATGTTAGGACTACTTCTTTTGCTGGGAATAAGAAAAGCAAAGTCCAGGGAAAAGACAGTTCTTTTTGCTGTCTCTGGAAAGAAGTGGTATGGCCCTCTGCAGGGGCTTGGGTACTGAGTAAGGAAAAGTTTTATGAGACGGGGTAGATCTGAAAGCATGCAGGACAAGCATAGTTGATATTGCTATAGTTCAATGATAAATAAATCTATATGCGTGATAATGAAATTACCTGGGCAGAGTAAAAGGACTGAAAGTGAATCTAAAACAGTTTATTTCAAATAACTGAAGTATTATGACAAAATAACTTTTTTTAAAAAAAAGGAAACGATGTTATATTTAAATTTAGTAACAGGATGATCAATGTAGAATAAGTAGAAAATCTGGGTCCTTTCAAAAGGACTCAATATATTTTTACCCCTTTTTTCTTCCCTTGCTTTCCGTCTCTTTCCTCCCCAAGACAAAGTCAATCAATGATAAATATATTGCTGAGAAAGTGGAAAAGTGTAAAACTCAGGGGGTGAGAGGGAACTCCCAAATTTGATCATTAAGAAACATGAGAAGTAACTAAAGGAGAGACTGGTGAGGGTGTGGATGACTTCAGACCTGGTGTGAACAGCTCGCTGTCCATCTACAGGAGGTCTGTGGATGATGACACAGGTCTCAAGGATGATGGCGCCTCTTGTCCGCTGAAAAAGACCAGGGCCCTACACTGGAAAGAAAACGTTCTGGGATGAAGGCACCCGATGGGGGGGAAGTGAGACTGGAGTAGCTCCTCATTGGTCTCCCTGTCTCCTGTCTTATCCCTTTTGAATCTTTCCTTTACACTGTCTACCTCCTCCCAGCCCCACTCCCCACAGCCTCCTCCCACCCCAGATCTGGGCATTCCCTTCTCAGATCCAGCCCCCGTGACTTCCTGCAACCTGACTTAAGGGCTGTTAGGGCCCTCTATGAGCAGCCCCTGCCTGCATGGCTTCATCTTCCTTTGCTGCCGGCCTCAGGTGTTATGCTTGAGTTCTTCCCAAGTGCTGTGTTGTTTTGCAGCTCCATCCTTTGGTGGCTGTGTGATCTTGGACAACTCGCTGAATTGTTCTGGGCCTTAGATCGCTCAGCTGTAAAATGATGAGTACAAGCTGAACATCCCTAATCTGAAAATCCAAAATCCGAAAGGCTCCAAAATTGGAAACTTTTTGAGCACTGACACGATGCTCAAAGGGAATGCTCATTGGATCATTTCAGATTTCAGATTTTTGGATTAAGAATGCTCAACTGGTATGTACTCTGCAAATATTCCAAAATCCGGAAAAGTCCTATATCCAAAACACTTCTGGTCCCAAGCATTTCGGATAGGGATTACTCACCCTGTGCCTCCCTCATAAGGTTGTGCAGGGATTAAATGAGTTAGTATATGTAAAGCTCTTGTAAGAATGCATGGTGCATAATAAGGGCCATACAAATGTTAGTAACTTATTGCTATTGCTCTTGTTGTTTTGAGCCTCGGTATATTAATTTTTTATTACTGCATTAAAAATTACCATAAACCTAGCATCTCAAAACAACACCCATTTATTATCTCACATTTTCTGTAGGTCAGAAGTGCAGACATGGCATAACTGGGTTCTTTGCTCAGAGTCTCACAGGACTTAAATCAAGATATTGGCAGGGGCTGAGATCCAGTCTGAGCATCTTCCAAATTTCTTCCAAGCTCATGTGGCTGTTAACAGAATTCTTCTCCTTGCAAATACAGAACACATGGCCAGCAAGAACTCTGACTTCACCTCCTTTCAAAAAGCTCCTCTGATTAGGTCAAGCCCAGTCAGATAATCTTTCTTTTAATTCAAAGCCAACTGATTAGTGACATAACCACAGAGTGATATCCCATCATATTCACAGGTTACGCTTGCACTGAAGGGGAGGGATTACACAGGACACATACAACGGGGGGTGGGATTCTTGGGGGTTATCTAAAAACTGGGAAATACTATGGTGAATATATGATTCATTAATCACCACCATCATTTCAGATTTTTGTAGCATCTTTCTTACAACGTTCAAATGGATTCACATCAATCTGGCTCCTGGAGCCAACATTCCCTGTCCTGTAGTTTTCACTAACTGATGAGGTCAGTTAGCACCTTCAGAATTCTTTTAGGAAGAGAACAATTAGAGACTTGTAACTGATAAGCCTGTGGGCTAATACTTGGCAGCTCCAAGAGGATGACACAATTTGTTTATTCTTCAGACTCAGAACAGATAAAGACCAGAACCTTCCTTAACTGCCAGTTCTGCCTGCCATTCTGTCAGTTCAAAGTAAAGTAGTAAGTAGTAGAGAAATTTTCACTTTGAGGTGGGTCTTTTGCATTATTTTCAAAAGCCTTCTTTGCCCCTCTTTTATCCCCTGCCATGTGGTTTAGATTTTTATTTTTATTTTTTTTTGCATTTAATTCAATCTATAGCCCTCAAAGAAGTATTGTCAGTCAAAACCCATGAAGGATGTATAAAGGATGTGAAATATGTTAAGGATATATTTTAGAAGATCAGTTAACAATAAAAACCTGCTAAAGATGANATTGTCTTTTAAAAACTACTTTTCAGTTTAGCTTACACTGTAGGTAATTTTTCTTACTTTTTATTTTTATTTTTTTTTTGAGACGTAGCTTGTGTAGACCAAAGAAAAGAAAAAACAGGAAAAACCTGCAAATGATTACTGCATTTGTAGTTTAGTGAACTCTACCTGTAATGGATGCCAGACAACCCTGCTGGAAAATGAGAGCATAATCCAGAAGGGCACACAGCAAGTGTCATTCCAGGGGATCAAATGCTTTGGATTGCTCCTGAGTATGTCTCTGCAAAAATTTGGAAGTATTTTCACATAATTGGTTGTTACGTGGAAGTCATTCAATGAATACTTTATGAGCTCCTACTATGTGCCAACCATGAGTTTTAAGCACTGGGTCACAATTTTATTCAATGAACCTTTATTGTCAATGCCAAAAAAGTTTCCTGTTTCCTATTCTTAACTTGTTTTTCATAAAAATTTCAAATCATTTATAGATTTTTTTACCTGCTTTTTATTAAATTTTTTTAAAAAAAAAATCCTGGGCCGGCCCGGTGGCGCACTGGATAGTGCGCCGCTTGGGAAGCGCGGCGGCGNTGAAATATGTTAAGGATATATTTTAGAAGATCAGTTAACAATAAAAACCTGCTAAAGATGAGATAGCCTCTTGGGTAGCAAAACCTATTTTTTAAAAAATGTCAGTTTGAACCCGATTCTAGACAATAAGACATGGAAAAGGCATTTTGAAGTAATGGGAATACCTGTTTTTTGGATTCTATTCCCCCAAAAGATGCTAAGTTCTTCTTTTTGATGGCATTTTATTTTTATTCAAATGTGTCAAGCTAAAGGGAAAAAATGAATTTGGCATCGCTGTAGATTTGGAAGTTTGAAGTGTCTGTTTACTCTGGCATTTCCTAACCAAGTATGATCTGTTATACAATAAGCCACCATTTAGTTAGATAGGAGGAATAAGTTCTGCTGCTCCAGGGTGACAATAGCTAATGATATTGTATTGTGTATTTCAAGATAGCCAGAAAAGAGGATCTTGAATGTTATAACCACAAAGAAATGATAAATGTTTAGGTGATAGGTATGCTAACTATTCTGATTGGATCATTATACAATTGTGCATATATTGAAACAACACTGTTCCCCTTAGATATGAACGGTGGAAAAAAATATGTATATATATATATATATATAAAACAAGCCATGATTTAGACCTGATTCTAGCTGCCTTCATGACTGTCATCCCTACAGCAATTTGGACTATAAAAGCGGAAGGGCTGGTTCATAAAGATAATCTAAAATAATATAGACTTGGATCTCTTTTCTTCCTTCCAGGACAATATTATCTTATTCTTGAGAGGTTGTAAAGAGCTCGGCCTTAAGGAATCTCAACTTTTTGACCCGAGTGACCTCCAGGATACATCCAACAGAGTAACAGTCAAGTAAGTAATGCACAATTTATGTTTAAATGGAAACCTTTTTATGGTTTGATTTGCAGTTTTGTGATGATGTTGTAAGTTCTAGGAGGCAGAGAATTGGGTATGCCTAATAAAATACAAATGTAAAGGTAAAAACCAAGTTTTCAAAACAAGACACATTGACCTTCTCTCTGTGCATAGCTTTCATTCTGATCAAACATAATTTTTTCAAATACAAAAATCATGCATATAGAGTTAGAATATTGAAGAAAAGGAGAAAAATGTTAAGTAAAGCTTAACAGGGGCAAGAGAGAAATATGCACAAAATCTGTATGTATTAGAGAAAAACCTTTTATTGGCTCCAATGGGGCATTTGAATAGCCTTTTGGGAGACTGCATACTAGGTAAACAGATCTGAACTCTGTTTATTATGCAAGGAGGGCATTAGACTATGGAGAAATCTCTTCTTCGTTTACATTTGTAACTGTTTTCTCAAACGTGTCAGTGATCAAGTTCTTTGAAGATGGATCATTGGTGCTTTGGCTATTGTTGACTATCTACTCGGGTGAGCCATGTTTGGGACCAAAGAATTCTTGGAGCAGAATGTCACGGTAAAATAAAAGGCGGTATACGTCTGTGTAAAGAAATAGCTCAGGTCCAGGGTAATGAAATATCTTTATGAGATGGCAGAGATAACTTTCCTGTAGTTTAGAAGTTCTTTAGATCCTACTAAT